TTCAAAAGACCTCAATTGCATTGGATTGACAGATGAATTTTTCAGTCAACTGATCAAAATTTGACTGTACACTGAAAAGTCAAACTTTGACATTTTGATCAAAATCAAGTGCCAAGGATCAAAATTCATAAAAACATGTCAAAACATGAAACTTGTTCATCAAGAAACCCATTTTTGCAAATTAGGGTTTAAAGTTGAAAAAATTTCATAACTTAGAATTTTTCTAAGTTATGAAATTTTCTTAATTTTTCATAACTTTGCCCAACATTTTCACCATGATGCAATTGGATTCAAACAAAACTTCAAACATGAAAATTGTAGTCCTCCACAAAGTCTACAACTTTGACTCACAAAGTTTTCTCAAAAGAAGCTTGGATCTCAAGTTATGATTTTTGGAACAAGGGTCCCTAAAACTTTTAACTTAGTGAAATTTTGCCCTAGTTTAGGCAGGATTTTGACCTATCTTCATGGCCATTTTTCACATAGTTCCACTTGGAATCTCAAGTTTCATTTCAAATATGGATTGTAGAGCATGTTGCAAGATTTCCAAAATTTCCAAGAACTCCTCAAACACATTTGTGGTTAGGGAGAATCGAGGGTTTGAAGTTGGCAAAAACTCACTTTTCATCCATGGCATATTCATGTTCATCCAAGTTGCAATTTCAAGTCAGAATTCTTTGCACTAGATTACAGGCCTCTAAACCACTTCACACTCAATAATTTAATGCAAATCCATTAGTCTAAGGCATTGTTTTGGTCATTAGGGTATTGTACACAAAACTAATCCCTAAGTAGAGAAAGGTACATTGCCATTTTTGCCATAATCTTGCTTTATGTCAAACCACAATCTTTGAGCATTGGTCCAGATCTTTGGCAGCTAATCAAATCCACAAATTAGAGGGGCCAAGAGCAGAGGTTACAAGGTGTTGAATAGCCTGTACAGGCCTGTTACATATCACTTCCCACTTTTGCTTCATATACAAGAAATATGCAAAACACATGAGACCAAGAGAATCAGCCAAAACCAACTTGTGAAAACATTTTGAACATCTTTCTCACACCCCTTTGAGCCAGAAACACGACCTCTGAAGCCTTCAAACATCCCATAGCCAGAAATCACCTTTCATTGGCAAAACAGGACAGAACCTGCAACTTGACTTCCATAGCTCATTTGGCTCGTGCGTTTTGCCCCAAACTGGTTCAAACACTTTCTATTCAACTCATCCAAGCTATCCCAAACCTCAAACACCAACTGTAACTCCATTTACAGGGTTTGCCATTTTCATTTTGAGCTTGTTCAGGTTGAGTTCTATAGGCTGATTCAAGTACATTCAAGGCAAGCTAGACATTGGAGAAGGTCAAGTGAAGTTCAAGCAAGCTCTCAGACATCTCAAGCCTTGTTGAAAAGCTCCACATTGCCCTACACGAAGTCAGCTGAAACAGGTTTTTTGTCAACTTTCTATCTCTCTATTTAGGAACATTTAGCCTTAGGTTTGTGAATAAGAAATGTAGTATTCATTGCCATGAAGTTGTACATATGCTCAGTTTTCATTTATATTAAGCATGCTAAGAGAATTTTATCCATGAACATGCTGAAAAAATTAAGTTAGATTTTAGGGCCAGAGAAATTCTCTCTGGTCTTTGAGAGTTAAGACAAGTTGTTTATATGGTTGGAATCGTCTTGAAATGCTCTACAAGTTTGATGTTATGTGTTTTTGCAATAGAGCTCGTATACAGGATCTGGTATTTGAACAGGGTGCGCGCGTTTTCACAGTCAGGAGGTTGAAGATAAAGTTGGTTTGGGCTGGGCTTGGTCTTGGCTACTTTTGACACCTCCTTTTTCCTTTTTGCACCCCATGGCCCAATTTCTTGTTATTTTATATTTTGGCATTTTTATTTTTGTTTCTGATTATATTTTATTATTTCCAAATATAAAAAATGCTCAAAAATATTTTTATAATTTTTTTCACATTTATTTTGCATTTTTATTTTTACTTTTCTAACATAAAAAGCAATTAATTACTTTTGTCTTATTTATTAAAAAAACTTGGAAATAATATATAAATCATACTTCTATTTTTATTCTTTATTTTTATTCACACTAAAATATTTTTTCTAAATATATTTTATTTTTGTATATATTTTATTTTATTTTATCATATTTAATATAATTAATACATACATACATATATATATATATATATATATATATATATATATATATATATATATATATATATATATATATATATATATATATATACTTTTTATTTTTATTATAATAAGTATAGAAAAATATTACACTTTTATTTTTTATTATTAAATATACTTAAAAAATACCTTTTTCTAAATATATTTTATTTTTGTATATATTAATATATTTTATTGTATATAAATAATTAATATATTTACTTTCTTAAAGAAAATTAGGGTTTTACCCTTAACCAAATAAAATTATTCTTTTTATTTATTTCATTAAATATTTTTACATACATAAATAAACAAAAAAAAAACCTTTTTTTGCATAATTCATATTATTTGATATTTTTATTTATTTTGTTTATCTAAATATTGTCCATTTATTATTTACGCATTTGATTCAATTTGGATGTAGTAGTAAATTAGGGTTTTTATTTCTTGTCAAATACACCCCCATTCAAAAATTGTTCCCCCATCCCCATAATCATGTTGTAATAGCTTAGACTTTTAATTCTCGCACTTTATGCTTTCAATTATGCCATGATTAGAGATTAGGGTTTGTATGCAAAAATCCAAAATCAACAAGTAGCTTGACCTAATCAAATATAAATGCATGAAAATCAAACACAAATGCACACTTGCACTCCTATGGTTACAATCCACTTGTTGCCTTAAAAATTGGCCATGTTATGCATGTTAAGTACTTTGGCAAAACCAAAACAAAACAAAAGATCATAGTCCCTCGATGACGCTATCTTGGTTGCCTAAACAAAATGATCAAGTCCCTCAAAAATTTGCCAAAAATACTTAACACAATTGCTATCATGGTCTACACGATAACTCACGCCTGTCTCGTTTAACATCCTAATACAAGGTTGTTTACCAAATGCAATGGTAAAACAACACTGTCAAAAGGATTAAAAACATATAGGAAAGATCTTTGAGTAAAATAGGGTAGATAGCTCTTAGTTACTTGATCAAAACTTGCAAAACATCCTTGCTATTTTCAAACACACTTCACAACACAATTTCAAAACATTTCCCAAATCAAACTTTCAAACCTTGAAATCTTTTCAAAAATACAAAAACATCTTTGTATACATTCAAACAAGAATCATTACAAAGGTTGCCACAACGATGGCCTCTTTTCAAAACATCTTTCAAAACCACACACAAAGCACCATTTCAAACAATTGAAAAGCAAAAGCAAGTGATCTAAATAAGTAACTAAGAGCCCATGGATAACCATGAATGAAAAGGGTGCTTGCACCTTCCCTTTTCATAATCTACTCCCCGAACCCAAGAAAACATCTCAAAGGTCTTTCCTGTGCTTTTTGATCTTTCCTTAGGATAAAATAAAAAGTCGGTGGCGACTCTTGCTAAACTGAAACATTTGCAAACACAAACGCAAAACCTCAAGTCAGTTCTCCCACCGTATCACAGTCGTTAGAAATTATTTTAGTTTAGAAGTTAGTGATTATATTAGAAAAGATTTGATTTTATTTTTAGGTAGTAGATGATATTGGACGATTGTATAAAAACTTGTAGTTTTTGATTTGATTATGTATTGATTTGTTTTATAAATGTTGATTCATTCTAATTTGCTCTTCGATTTGGCTTGATCTGTTTGAATCTCTACAATGCTCGTTTTTTTTTTTTTTTTGCTCTCTGGGCCACCGCTGAGAAACAAGGGTTTTACAAAAGAAACCCTAAGTTTGACTTCTGTCAACATTAGGTTGACTGGATTAATTATTATAAAACTTAATTAAATACATAATTAACCTAATTAATCAAGTTAATTCAATCAGTAATAAAAAAACTTAAAAGAACCTCGATCCAAAAAAGTTTAATGTGCCAACATATGTTCAGTTGTTGGTTTTCTCAAACACACCCTTTGTTATCACTGAAATGGGCCTCAAAGTCATTTGACCGATCATATTCTAATCACCCCTCCCTTTTTGCACTTATACAAAGACAATCCCAAATGGATTTAGTCGCAAAGCAAGCTAAACCCAATACACCCCTCTCTCGTTTTTTTTTTAAAATAAAAAAAACAAATTTAATGGACTGGTATAACAATTGTAATGGGCCTGCAACAAAGTGGGCAATGAACCAAGATTTCGTTTTCAGAAAACAAACCTCTTTTCTACTTAATAATGTACTTCCTTCTTCTTTTAAAGCAAAATTTTAATGGGCCAAAATCTTAATAACAAATACACTCCCTTTCTAATTATAAAAAAAAATTAATGAGTCATCAGATTTTAATGGTCCATTTTTGAAACAATACACTCTCTCTATAAACATAAATCTCATATTATATATATATATATATATATATATATATATATATATATATATATATATATATATATATATATATATATATATATATATATATATATATATATATATATATATATATATATATATATAAATTTGACAACAATATATTATTAAAAAAAAATAATAACATTAAAAATCAATAGGACAAATTTAGAGTATGACATAATGGTTTAATTTTTCTTAAAAACACTTGATTTTGTTGAAAAAATTGACTAGTTTCTCGTATATGAATATTGGGCCCACCTTGCATGAATTCTTGTTTGGGGGCATGCATAAAACAAGACACTTTCATTTAAAGTAAGACCTTACTTGTATGTATAAACTTTGACCCACGAATGGTCGAAACAGTAAAATTGACCACGTTTTTCAATCTAGCACACCATTTTCAAACATATAAATTAAACACAAACAATATACTTTTCTCTTACTCTTAAACTAAACAAAAAAAAAAAAACATTATGGATCCTTTTTTTCCTGAGAATCTTCTTTTAGGTGATGTTTTTTGGGATGAACAAGAACAACCTCTTCTTTCAACAAGCGACTTTGTTCAAACACAACCTTGTCCTATACAATATCCAAGTGCTTTTGTTCAATATAGAGACCAACCCAAGATTAGTTTAGGAAAACAAAATTCTTTAAAAGGATCCAATTCACATTCCATGAACAAGAGAATGTTTGCATTTTTGAGAAAAAGTTTGCCCGTAGAGAGAAATAAAGCAGCTGAATGTGAAAGAGAACGAGGTTTCAAACATATGATTAGTGAAAGAATGAGAAGACAAAGACAGAGACAGTGCTGTATCAACTTACATTCAGTTTTACCTCATGGAACCAAAGTATATATATATATATATATATACAAACTTTCGCAGAGTTTCACAACATCGTTTTAAACTACAGTTGCAGTTAAAGTTACACTGCGAACCTGAAACATGTTTCAGGATCGCAATATAACTTATTTCTAATATTGGAAATTTTTTTTTTTTTGTGATAGACGGATAATAATTCAGTAGTTCAAACGGCAGCTAAGGAAATTCAAAGGCTGCAAGGATGCAAAGAGGAGTTAGAGAGGAAAAACTTTGTGCTTGAAGGAAATGTTGAAGGAAGAAAATTCCAGCATTTGAGAGTGACATATTCATCTACATCTGGAATTGATTCTATAGTTGAGACACTGAAACTGTTGAAAGGACATGGTGTGGATACTAGAAGGATCAACACAGATTTTTCTCAGCAGGAGTTTTTTGCGGTCTTAGAGATAGAAACTGAGGTATGTTTTTGTTTAAAAATTCTGAATATTCTAATGGCAAATTATTTTATATTTTTTAGTGTTAGGTTTTCTAGTTGTAAGGTTTGGAAAGTTGAAACGTAAATAAGATTTGCTTATGCTAATAATGTGTTGGTTTGTTGAAAGATTGGAGAAAGTGATGTGGAAGGGGCTGTTAGGAGAACACTTGAGGAACTTGAGTGGAAGTTTCATTCTCATGTCCAAGAAGGTTCTGAAAAGCAACTACTACATTCATTTTAAATGGAATAAGCTTAATATATATTTGCATATAAACTAAGAAATATGATAAAGTTGTCAATTATAGTAAATTTACTTCTTTGGCTATCGGTTTAATTTTATCATCATCAATGTACTGTAAATTATAATACTTTGAGATTTGAGGCTGATGTATATAATGTTCTCTCAATTTCATATCAAGTAACTCTTTTACAATAGATGTTTTTCTTTAGTTATTTAATCCTTTTAAAATACGAAGGTAGTATGTATTATTTACTTTTAAAATATTTTATTTGTTGTATTTCTGATCCGACCGATCTCGAGTTGCTAATCACTACGTCTATCGAGTATCATCCGCTATGAGTTTGCAAAAGATGTTTCATTGGGTAAGAGTTTGAATCTTGAGCATGTGAGTCCGGTCCCTTCTTCTAGGAACAATGTTCCGACCATTTCAAGACTTTAGCACTTTTTATAAAGTATTGTCTATTTTAGATGTGAAATCTTTCACTATTTTGTCTTTTAGAAAATGCATAGTTGAATTGACAAGTGTGAGTGTTATATACAAATTACACTTGTTCTCGATTCTTAAATAATGTAGAACTTTTTAGTATACAAAATCGACTTCAACTCAATTAACTATTCTATTAATTATAACTAAGAAGAGTGTTTTAATATCTTTGATTCGATTAAGGAGTGGTTGAACTTGGATGTGCAAAAGAGAGATTTGTGTGGCTAAGATTTGTTAGTGTTTTTGTTCATATTTGTGTTAGAATTAATTTAGATTTAATTAGATATTAATTTATATTTAGGAATGTCTTTTAGATTGTTTATATCTTTGTTAGAAGATATAAATCTTAGATCTTCTTATATCTTTGTAGAAGATATATTTTAGATTTAATTTGTGTGTATAAATAGCCTAGTGGAGTAGGTTATTGTAATTCATTGTAAATCCTTATTTTTAAGCTATCAGTAAATATTCCTTTTGTCTTTTATCTTTCTTGTGCTCCAACAATTGGTATCTAGAGCTCCTGGTTAGAAACTCTGAAATTTGTGAAACATTGTTTTTTCATTGAGTTTCTGCGTAAATTGCACAAGGTAGAAGATGAACGGAAACGACGATATTCATTCCAAGCTTCCAGTATTTGATGGCAAAAACTGGAATCGTTGGAAGATCCAGATGCGTGTATTATTTGGTTCTCAAGATGTGTTAGATCTTGTCGTTGATGGCTATAATATGTTAGAAGCAGACGCAACAGAGGCCTAGAAGATAGCACAGAAGGCGCTGAGGAAGAAAGATCAGAAAGTGTTGTTCTACATCCATCAATGTGTGGATGTGAATGTGTTTGAGAAGATTGTTGATTCTGAAACAGCAAAGGCTGCGTGGGACACACTCGTCAGATGTTACGGTGGTGATGCATCAGTGAAGAAGGTGAAGCTTCAGTCTCTCAGAAAGCAATATGAGAATCCCAACATGAAGGACAATAAGAAGGTTTTTGAATACATCTCTAGAGTGATTCTGATCACTAATGAGATGAAAGCGTGTGGATAAACTCTGTCTGAACAAGTAATTATTGAGAAGATCTTGAGATCTTTAACTTCTCAGTTTGATTACATTGTTGTAGCAATTGAACATTCCAAATATCTGAGCACCATGAGAGTTGAAGAGCTGCAAAGTAGTCTAGAGGCGCATGAGTTGCGTATGACTGCAAGAACTTCTGAGAGGGAAGTAGAGCAGCAGGCTCTGAAAGTAACTTCTGGTAAGAAGCATCAGAAGAAGACTTGGTCAGAAGCCAGGAAGAGAACTAATGGTAGTCAAAAGTCATAAGCTTCAAACTCTGATAGGCATAAGAATGTCCAGAAGGGAAAGGAGAAGTCTGACAAGAAGAATTATCAGTGTTATTGTTGTAAGAACTTTGGTCACTATGCCAGAGATTGTTGGTCCAATAAAGAAAAGAAGTCAGAAGAAGTAAATATAGCAAGAGGAGACTCTGATGATGAACCTGTGCTATTATTGGCTTCTGAACTTGATGATCTGAATTCATCAGAATGGTGGTATATGGACACAGGGTGTTCAAACCATCTTACTGGAAACAAGAAGTGGTTGGTTGACTTTGACTATGGGAAGAGTACAAAGATCAGATGTGCTGATGACAAATACCTCAATGCAGAAGGTATGGGAAATGTCATAATCATTCTAAACAATAGGAAAGCAGTTGTGATCCAGAATGTTTGGTTTGTACCTGGCATGAAAAGCAATCTGATGAGTGTGGGACAACTGGTTGAGAAAGGTTTTTCAGTTGCCATGAAGGACAATCTTCTGAAGCTGTATGACTGTAATCAAAAGCTGATTATGGAGTCAGAACAGGGAAGGAACAGAACATTCAAGGTGAATGTTAGAACTGCAGACTCTGAATGTCTTAGTGCAACAAGTGTTGTCAAGGAGAGTGAGTTATGGCACAGAAGATTTGGTCATCTGAATTTCAGAAGTTTAGGGCATCTGAAATCAAAGAATCTGGTACATGGAATTCCTACAATCAAGAAGCCTGAAAAGTCATGCAAGGTGTGCATGGAAGGGAAGCAACCAAGATTACCCTTTGCATCAGAAGTAGCTCCAAGAGCAAAACATGCCTTGGGAGTAATACATTCTGATGTGTGTGGTCCGTTTCCAGTAGCATCGACTGGAAGGAATAAATATTTTTTGTCATTTGTTGATGAGTTCACTAGAATGACATGGGTATCTCTCATAAAGTTCAAACACGAGGTGTTTTCTGAATTCAAAAAGTTCATACTGAAGGCTGAGAATTAGAGTGGCTAGACTCTGAAAATTCTTAGAACTGATGGTGGTTGTGAGTATAAATCCACAGAATTCAGAAGTTTCTGTGAGGAGAATGGAATTAAGAATGATCTTACTACTCCATATACTCCTCAACATAATGGTCTTGCTGAAAGAAGAAATCGTATTTTGCTAGATATGGTGAGAAGCATGCTGAAAGAGAAGAAGTTTCCTCATACTGTGGGGAGAAGCTGTTGCAACTGCATGTTATGTGCTCAACAAATGTCCAACAAAGAAATTAAAGGAAATAATTCTTATTCAGAAGTGGACTGGAGATAAGCAAAGTGTTAGTCATCTGAAGGTATTTGGTTCTGTATGTTACAAACATGTCCCAGAAGCCAGAAGACAGAAGCTGGATGATAGAAGTAAAGTGATGTTGCTGGTGGGGTATCACAGTACAGGTTCGTACAAACTTTATTGTCCAGAAACTAACAAAGTTGAGTTCAACAGAGACATCATTATAGAGGAATCAGAAGTTTGGAATTGGGAAAAGTCTCGTCCTGACTCTGATGACAGAACTTCTGAAGAAAGGTCAGAAATATATGTTTCTGAATCTAGTAAAGACTCTGACTCTGAAAAAGATACAGAAGGAGAAGATGATTCTGACTCTGACTCCGATGGTGATCCAGACTCTGAAGACTGTCAAGGTTCTGGAGAAAGTCCAATTTCTGAAGCAGTGCTTCTGAAGGGGAAAGTTATGGTGTCCAAAGTTCTGAAGGTCCAGTTCAGAGGCAACAAAGAGTCAGAAGCATCCCAAGAAGATTTGCAGAGTTTAACATGTTTCTAGACACTGAAGTAAACTCTGAAGAAGAAGTTATTCAGTGTGCAATGTTAGTAGACTATGAACCCGTGAGTACGGAAGAGGCTCTTAAGCAGCAAGTTTGGTTACAGGCCATGAAAGAAGAACTTGATGCTATAGAAAGAAACAAGACTTGGAAGCTGACAGAACTTCCAAAAGGAAAGAAAGCCATCAACGTCAAATGGGTTTTCAAGCAGAAACTAAAGCCAGATGGATCAATTGGAAAACACAAAGCGAGATTAGTAGCAAGAGGCTTCCTACAGAATCCTGGGCTGGATTACTTTGAAGTGTTTGCACCTGTAGCGAGACATGAAACAATCAGACTAGTGATTGCAATAGCTGCTAACAGGAATTGGCCTCTGATGCATTTAGATGTAAAATCTGCATTTCTGAATGGTCCATTACAAGAAGAGATGTACATTTCACAACCTCCTGGATTTGAGAAAAAGAATCAGGAAAGGATGGTGTTCAAATTACACAAAGCATTGTATAGATTGAAGCAAGCGCCCAATGCTTGGAACTTGAAAATTGATTCGTTTTTCAAGGAACAAGGGTTTCAGAAGTGTGAGATGGAGTATGGTGTTTATGTTCAGCACACTTCAGAAGGTAATATAATTCTGGTCTGTTTGTATGCTGATGACATATTACTCACAGGAAGTTCTGAAAAAGAGATAGTTGAGTTCAAGAAAGTTCTAATGAATACGTTTGAGATGACAGATCTTGGAAAAATGAGTTTCTTTCTAGGGATGGAATTTATATACTCTGAGAAATGAATCATTTTACATCAGATGAAGTATGAACTAGAGCTTCTGAAGAGATTTGAGCTAGAAAATTGCAAGGTTGCTATCACACCTGCTGATACGAATCTGAAGTTGGATTCTGATTCTGATGGAGAGGATGTGGATGCTACAACCTTTAAACAGATGGTTGGTTCTCTAAGGTATTTGTGTAATACCAGACCTGATATTTTCTATGCAGTTGGAATGGTTAGCAGATTTATGAGCAAACCAAAGTGGTCTCATTACCAAGTTGCAGTCAGGATTCTGAGGTATGTGAAGGGAACTCTGAAATATGGAGTGTTATTTCCGTCTGGAAAAAAGATCGAATTAGAACTTGAGTTATTCTGATTCTGATTGGTGCGGAGATAGAGTTGACAAAAGAAGTACTTCTGGGTACTTATTCAAATTTCTGGGAAGTCATATTTCTTGGTGTTCCAAGAAGCAACCTGTCATTGCTCTGTCAACCTATGAAGCTGAATATATTGCAGGTGCTCTGACTGCATGTCAAGCTGTGTGGATTCTGAACTTGTTGAAAGATCTGAAGATTGAGGTGAATAAACCTCTGAAGCTGATGATTGATAACAAGTCTGCAATCAATCTTGCCAAGAATCCA